TAAATCATCATTATTCTCTACAACATGATTTCTCAACATTCAATAGGTAGCATATTTTCTCTTACTGAAAATGTAGCCACTTAAGTTGATTAATTGATTCAACTCTTTTGGACAGTCATCCATTTTAATATATATGGTGAAAAAAATATTCACATGCCATTCTACATTGGGGATTAGGATAAAAGTATCTTCAGTCTTCTTTCTGATGTAAGCTGCAGCTGGATCTTTTCTGCTGTACTTTAAAGAAAGTCTTTAGCTTGTTGACAAATATTGGCACTTTAGCTGCTGTTCATGTTCATTCTTATGAGTGGGCATGAAGAAGAGAATAGAACTTTACCTGGCTTAGACCATACAGCAGTTACAATAATGTCTAGATTTAGTAGATAATATTGTAAATAGGTCTTTAGCAATAAACTCAGCTGGTTATTTGGTCAACAGAAGTGCTATTCTGGCTGCTAATTACAACCCTATGTTGGATGTGGTGCCAAGTACATGTTCTCAGTATTAGCCCAGAAGGCACTGGGCTTCAAAAGAGAAAAGCTCTTCCAGAAAACACGGTTTTGAGACTGGTGCCTGAGACTAAAGCCACCAGACAACAGCTTTAAAAAGCTGTGGTACCTCCTCTTCCTTCCTAATCTCTTGGATGTCTTTTTCCTTAGGCAGCATTAGTGGGTATTGACTAACACACTTGGAAAAAAGTATGTCAGAGAACACAAACTCTGTGAACTACTCTGAGTTGGGGTTGATATACGTGGGGATCAGCCACGAACTAGCAAGGCAAAGGGGTCACACATTTTACAAGATGGGAAAAAAAGTAAATATTACTAAATAGCTATGATGCCATGGAAAGGGCAAAAGGTTATGAAAATGGTTAGCTTGAGGGAAGATTCATGTATACAGAGGGATGGAAACACTTGGCTATTAAGCATGTGGCATTCCATGGCTGTGATATCAGAATTCCCAATACCAGCTGGCTTCCCTTTTCTGAACTCTTCAGAAAATGCTTTAATTTGCCATAGATAAAAAAGCACATAAAAAGGAAAAGATAACCCCCTGTGAAGTAGGCAAAAGTTTTGTTCTAGGGAACAGCACCACTATTCAGTTGTACAGAGCCTTGTCAGTGGAGGTTAATATTTAAAGGCCACAAAGAAGATCCCTGCTTTTTCTTTGAATATTTGAATACATTTTTCTCTGGTATTTTGGATGGACCAAATAAGAATGCCTATGCTACTTTAAGATAAAGGAATGTAACCTCAGTGACTTCATTTTGGAACTGTTTACTGCCAGCTATGAGTTTTATTGCGTACTTTTAATCACAAATTCCTTAATAGTCTCTGTTTTAAGGAAAAGACCTTGTGGCTTTATTTAGTAGATCTGCCCTGGCTGGGTGTGTGTCTCCTTGGATTAGTTGTGAGGCCTGTTTAATGCAGTGTATACTGTAAAAAATGCTGCAGTCTCTATCTGGCTGCTGTGAATCTTGATGCACAATTCTAAGAGGAGACCTTGGGCACAGCAGTTTCCTTTGGGTCTTTTGCCTCTTCTGAGCTTCAGTCCTCTTGTAGGAGTCTTGTGGAGAACTGCCCTTCTTACTAGGCAGAAACAAGGGATTTTTCAGACTGTTTGTTTTGGTTGTAGTATGCTTATTTGAGTAAGTTTACCTTGGATAGCATCATCATCTAGGGAAGGGTCTACAGAAAGTGCATTATCCACTGTAAGCCTTCCATACAGTGAGAAAAGGTTGTTATGAGAAGAATGGATTCAAAGAGGTAGCGTTTGATGTCCCGGATGTCATCATGTAAATTCATGCCTGTCCCCTTTAAGCTTGGTCAGAGAGAAGTACCTGAAAACATTAAACTTGCTTTTTAATTTAGTGCAGTTTATGTGGATGGGAAATGATGCTCTGTTAGCACAGACGGACATACTGTGGCTCTGTTTACTGTTCAAGAAGAAGACACTTTACCTTACAGTCTTTTATCCTGCTTAATACCCCACTGACTCATTTTGCAGTTTCTCAGACACTGACTGTTCCACTGCAGTGCCAGTAAACCTTCACAAAGGAAAAAACCAAAACCGTAGACCAGTACCAGTTTTACAAAGCTTTATATCTGAAAATCATCAGTACTGACACTGCAGCCACCTGCTGCCTGGTGTGGCACTGAGAAGAGCCATCTAACCCCTGGCCTCTGTGGGCTGTTGGTTCAAACAGCTGCAATGAACATTCCTCTTCAGGCAGTCCAGCAGTGCAGACTGCCAAGGTTAATCTCCTGTGTGCTAACCTACAGGGCCTCCGCATGTGAGAAACATAAAAGTATGAACACTTTGCAATGAATGATCTAAGGAAAATTACATAAATGAAAATACAGCAGGGTCCGGTCATCTGTAGTTATAAATAACTTCTGTTGTTTGGTCAGCTGGAATCACACAAACATACTATTATTAGGGCCTGCAAAGGTATACATACAGATTTTGAAATGGGAATACTGTAGAAAATGAAAGGAATAATTAACCAGATAAAGGCTTAGTTCCCATCTTATTCTGGCAATCTAATACATAGGCATATAAAGACCTACAGTGCTATCGGTATCTTGACCCCAGCCTTTCATAAGACTCTCAGCTTTGCCAATGGGAAGTGCTGCTTTGATTGACTGACTTCCTACAGAAAAGCATCAAGCCAGGACTTCTGCAAAAGGCAGGCGTAGTTTGCTTTTCTTTAGGAGCAGGAGTTGGATTAGAGTGGTGGAATGGGGTGGGGAACAGTAGAAATCATCCTTACAGGAGAAAGAGGAAACTAAAAGAGCTTTGCAGCTCAGGTCAGCTTTTCTCTATGCTTCCCCCATCCTTCTTGTGAACAATAACTCAGTTTGCTATCTCCTTTTCCTACCTTCCCTTTCCCTCCCTGCAATGCTTGGCCTGGGAACAGGGTGAGGGGGCTGTTTGCAGTTGTGCTTGCAGCAAGCAAGAGGGCAGAGGTCATTTGTAGCCTTGGCTAGGGGAGGGCTTGGAGGAGACTGCCTATAGACACCAGCTTTCTAGTCTGGAAGGTATGGAGTGAGGAGCATCTCTGATACATTGCAAAATGAAAGAGTAGTTAAACAAACATTGTAAAGCCAAGGGAGTGAGTTAGGGCTGTATGGTTGGGCCAAGCTGACAACTAGCCGAGGAACTGCTAGATGCACAGGCCTGAGGTGCAGGCTCTACAGTAACTGCTGATCTAGATTGGGATCAACTTTTGATCTGGGGGGAATGTCACACAACACCAGAATTTCAAACATTGCAGCAATATGTTCAAGACTTCTTGGCTGTGCTGCAGTGTGTTAGGCCACATGTTCTAATACAACATGCTGCCTGCACCTCACCTTGATGCAACCTTTTCTGCCTAAAGGCAAAGAAGACACTCCCGTCTTCCTAAGAACTGAGACAGACAGAGCTGGATGCTGAATAAAAGATAGCTGGGAAACAGCTAGGAAACTTAACAAGAACTCGAGGAGACATGAAGGCTGCCTTTTTGGAAAGAAGGGCAAGATAGAGAGAATAAGCAGCTCGGGCCCCAGGCCATTTCTATTTGTTCCTCTTCCCTTCTGCCTTGTGCGAACATCACTCTGCTCTCTTAATTTTGGCCTTTCTGCCCTTGCCTTGGAGACCTGTGGAGTGGGAAGTCAAGCAGGCAGCCAGAGGCACCACAGCCAGAAGAGAAACGGGAGGAGGATGTGGAAATAACTGAAAATCCCTGGGTTCCAGAAAGTCAGTAGAGAACATGCCAGCACCCTTAAGCTAAGGAGGGACCTGGGAGAGGGTGCAGTTCGCGTATTTGGAAGGAGAGAGGGAAGTGCACGTTAATAAGACAGTGTGAAGGTCTGTGAACTGTAGGAGAGGCATTCTAGGTGGGAACCACACCCTACCTTTAATTCCCTCCTCTAATCTGGCTGCAGCAGAAGCTCACACAGAAACCCTTCTTCAGCCCCCTTACTGTCAGCCAGCTCCACGTCACTCTGGGGCTCTGCAAACAGCCAAAATGTGAAGCATGGATGGTTTGTGCATGTTGTGTTTTGTGTCAGCTTATAAAGCTTTGAAGTTGAATACCTGCTTTTAAAGTGAAATTTCCTCATGTTGTGAAGAATAAAGCAGCAAATTTGCTACCTGACACAGCCCCTGTATCAGTTAAATTATCAAATGCAAATGGTTTATTGGACTAATTCAGGGAAAAAAAACCCCAAACAGCTTCTTAAGAAACAGGCTATACATTTAAAAGGTTTATCGTCTGCTCACTCAAGAACAGTACACAATACATACTGATGTTCCCAGCTTTGCTGGCTGCCATGCAGCCTGATGGCTTTTACCACTCTCCAGTAGTGGTGGAGATATATGCTCTAGGCCAAGAAAAGTTCTAGCTGGTTCTGCAGGACACTTGGAGCAGGGAAGCTCCTTCTCAGCCCATGACTTCAACAGGCTATTTCAGCCAGTGCAGAATGAGTGGAAATCACCCCCAATTGAACCTTCCTGTAAAGTCTTCTGAAAGGGGGGACTTCCCAACCTTAAAAGAGTATTGCCAAAACATCCTACTTCTGCAAATGCTTCCAGAAGAAATACATTGTAGGACTGTGCGCAGTTCCTTGGGATACTCATCTGGGAAAAATTAGGACAATTTCTTTAACCAGGCATTGTGACTGGGGCAGGGAGAATCAGGGAGCTAGCTACATGACCCCTTTTTCACATATTTGTCTGCTTTTCCTTGTAAAAGCAGTGTAAAATGAGGGAATCCATCCCTTTACAAATGTGCCACTGTAGGCTTAGACAGAGCCAAATGAACCATTCTGTTTGCCCTCAGGCTCCTTCAACTCACTTAAAAGCAAGCAACAGAGCCACTCTTCATCTCCTGCATGGAAGCATCTCAGCAGGAGAAACAGGGAAGTGGTAGCAGCTGCTGAGAGCTCTCCCTGTTTGCATCCGTGGGGAAAGGGTGATGGGAGGCAGCTGGGGAATGTGATGCCCTCTACATCCTTCCTGTAGTGACAAGCCTTATTCAAACACTTCAGTTTAAAAAGCTCAGAGTGCAGCTCTGGGAGAATGCTTTCAATTCATAATCAAATACGGGGTAATAACAGATGGATAAAACAAACAAATGTGGGGGAGGATGAGGTTCATACTCAAACACTCTGGAGTGTATTCTGGGAAGAAGACGCCCACTTTCTACATGTTATTTCTCATTCAAGGAAATCTATGGGCAGGTGAACTTCGGGACCTTCTTCACTGTGCTCAGAAAAAGCCTTTCAGGAAGGAGCAGCTCTGTTTTCTTTTAGTGCAGAAACAATTCTCATGTCTTTGCATGCTTTGAAGCTCTTCCTATCCCTGCTGTATTACTCCTCTTCTTCTGAGATGAGGAAACTGAGCAAGTAGCTTGGCTTTCTGACCAGCGCTAATACTATCCTGTCACTTTGCCAGGAGATGCAGCCTGTTGAGTGGATCACTGGCACAGCAACCCCAATGTGCATTAGCACTCTGCAGGCCTCATTGTATTACACTCCTCACGATCACTGCTCTGAGAGCTCTGCATGGGCCTATTCCCTCTGCTTGTGCACTGTGTTACCACTGTGCCTGCGGCCAACTCCATTGTTTTGCTGGTGATGATAATACATAGGTTTTTCCAGCAAAGAAAGCCTCCAGGCAAGCTGGGAGGCTTCTCAAAGCACAGTGGATTGTTTGCCAGACAAACAGTAGAACGCTTGAGGAGTCTGTAATGATTTATTGTCTTAATGTGCCTTGGTTTCTATTGCTCAGGACTGTGGTAAGGATGAGATTTAAAACCTGAAGAAGATGTGGGGATGTTGGTAATAAATGAAGGATGCGAGGAAGATTTTCAAGGTGAACTTTCTCAGTTCAGTCTTGTTAATCAGTTTGTGGTTGTTGAACAGAGCAGAAGGATCTCTGCAGTCGGTAGGCTTGTGCAATGAGAGCGATGAGTGAAGCACAGCATCATCTTGAAGATCATGTTTTAACTTCATGGGAAAATGGCACATGTATTAAAATAAAATTTCCCTTTTGCTGTTTGTGCAATCAGAGATCTCTGACCTTTAATTTGTTTTCGAATGTGATCAGTTTGTGTCACCTGCCAGCCAGTCACAGATAGTACCACTGGTGAGGTAAAGGACAGAACAAAGTGCAGTCAGTTTGAGGAAATGGTAATATAGATTTCCAATCAACAGCAGCAGTTTAATTGTGGAAACCGTGACAAAACACATTTTTTTTTTTCCCTGGAGTTCAGTCTTGGAGCCTTGTTTTGAAAGCAGAACATTTTCTTGGCATGCCTCTGCTGATTTCTTAAATGTGCCAGTGGAGGAAACATCATGCTTCTGTGTCTTCAGCTTCTTTGTAGTAAGATCCAGTTAAACAACTAAAGATATTAAAAATTCATTAGAGTATTTCTATGTTGCAGTCAATGAGACCTGTTGTTTATCAAGGCATTTCCAGCCAAATAAATTGTCTTTTTTTTTTTTAACCATATAGTAAAAGACATTTGTACAGACTGCTTTGTATAAAATTGATTTTATATTTATATGTAAATCACTTTTACACTTCTCTAATGCAGCAGTCGACAGTGTTAGATAACAGGGCAATACAGTGAGAATACATTTCAGCTTCAACTGCTGAAGTTACCTTTAGATCAAACAACGCATGTGAATTACATTGCAGTGCTTGGGTGGTACTCAGCAATAAAATGAGTTAATTGCATAAGCTTCATTATTATCTTAATTGTGAAATATTTTTAGGGTATCCAGAGATCTGCAAGTAAAAAACAGTGAGCAAATTCTGCTCTGATTTTTACTGTTGTCTCAGAAAGAAGAACTTGAGCGATCAATATAAACTATTACAGGGGTGATCCATATAAACTATTACAGAAAAAAATATTCTGACACTTCTGACACTACTACAAACATAGCAACCTTTGGATAAATTGTGATTGTATTGTCCAGACAGATGTGCCACAAGAAAATAACATTTCAAGTCTCATTCTGAGTACACTGAATTGTGTTATATATAGATTTTTGGAGCAGCAAACCCACTGATGCTTAATTCCTGTTCAGCTGAATGGAATGTGACCAAAATAAGAGCTGAAATAGCTGATGCAGTTTCTTATCATCCAGAAACTTGCACGAGTTCAACTTCAGAAGCTACTTTAATGGAAATAGCTCTGTAGCTGTTCAGTGTGATTTCAGTTCTACCTCTCAGTGTGATTACTGAGAATGCTAGACGGGAATCTGCAGTTAACTACAATGTCCTGGTACAATAAAACTTGGGCCACTGCATTAGATCTGAGTGACCTTTCACAGGAATCTAGATTGGATTTGACAGAAAACCTGACAACTGAGTTAAGACTCATTTTGGTGTGAAAAAATCATGTAAGGCTTCCTACGATTCCTATCAATCTAAATACAGTAGAGTGATATTTTTGTTTGAAGGATTATGTTATTTTTCTAAACATATTTGAAAGGGAAATGGACATTTATATGTGGAAGGCTGGGGACCCATATGAATTTATGAGATCTCAGTATTTAAGATTTAAATGAGGATGTAAAATGTATGCTTATCTTATGATATAAAACCTGTGGTTAAACTTAGAACATGTTTCTCCAGATGTTTACGTATGTGAGCCAAACTGAGAAGAAGACTGTCAAATAATTTGATACCCAGCTTGGGACAAAACCTTGGTTGAAATCTTTTCTGAGCTGTGAATCTTTAAAAAGAGTGATCTTAAGTGTATAATATTTTTCAAGGGAAATATGAAAAGGCTTTGTAGTCTCACAAGGACATACTTTATGTATACATATTAAATATGTCCTCTTAATCTTCCTAAGAAAGATACATAAAGACAGAGTACGACTTTCAACAGTGTGATTTATCCCCAGCAGAAAACGCTCGGTTTTCGACATACTTTTCTTCATTCAGAAAGTTATTCTTGTCAAAAGTACAGAACCTTCCAAAGCTTCCTTTTCTTCTAAAGACGTGCCTGACCTTATCTTCTATAATAGGCTCTATTTTGGCTAATGCTCTTATTTACATAGAAATGCAAGAATAATTAAATGCCAACAGCAAGAGGTCTATCTGGGTGGAATTTGAATGAGTATCTTATAGCAATGTGGTTAACAAACTTTACAAAAAGAGTGTGCACCCTCACACAGTGGGCAGTGTTAGTAGAGGAGGATTATAACGTCCTGGAGTGGAGGTATGTAAACAAAGAGGTGGCAGTGTTAGGTCTGTGGCGAGCTAGACTTGACAGCAACATAAACAGCATAAAGAAGCCTTCTAAACAAAATCTCCAGCTGATCACTGGAGCCGACCCACCGCAGGCCTTTAGAGCTGCTTAGGAGGCAAGATGCATTTTTAGAGGATGCCTGTGTGTTCCCAGCAGTAGGAAAGGCAGGGAAGATGTGTTGAGAGGTAATGTTCAGTCATGGGGCTACGAACACGTGTGACCCCCAAAGGCAGGATGGACCTTGAAGCCACAGAGTCCTGGCACATCAAAGGGCTGTTAGCACAATTAGGTCTTTGGCTGCCCCAAATGTCAGAAAAGGGAGAAGTGGCCCCAATAAGAAGTTAATTTAGAAAAACATTAGACTTTCTGTGTCTGGAAAAAACAGAGTGAGTGAAATCCTGGCCCCACTAAAATCCATAAGGATATTACTGCTGATTTCAGACAATGGTAAAATACTAGATTATTGGCTGAAAATTACCCATCTTTTTTTCTCTCTCTAGCCCAAGCTGTCTGTGTGGGTTTTGAGGGCACAGAAAGGATGCATGACTCTATTCCTCTTTCTCCTTTTCTAAATTCTCCCCTTGCCTGTTGTGTTTGAATCAAAAACCACTTTGTGTTCTTGAAGTTACACATGGATGCTTAAGAGTAGTGCTGCACGAAGGAAGTACTGATTTGTGCAGTGTTGTGTCTCTTCCAAAGAAAGGAGAGTGGGCCCAGTTACCTTCTTTTTATGTCACAGGCCATGAAAAGTAGCACTAAGAATTACATGTGAGAAAGAACACATGCAGCTGTCATGTTTGATTGTGATTTGATTGTCATGTTTGATTTGGGTGATATGGTTTAGAGCGAGGTGTCCCTGCCCATGGCAGGGGGTTTGGAACTTGATGATCTTGAGGTTCTTTCCAACCCTGGCTGTTCTATGATTCTATGATGAGTGGTAGAAAAGCATGTCGTATCTTCCCTTAAGAATGTGTTTCCTGGTTGAAATGCTACATCCAAACCTAGCATTTTATACTGGTAACCTTAAATAGGGAAAAAAGATACATATTAATAGCAAATACTTAAATATTTTTGCTTTTGCTCTTGTTAATATACTTATTCACTCTTGCCAATGTTTTAAAATTTATCTATATAAAGTCAGGCATTTAAATCCATATTTCAACTTACAAAGAAGCAGTCTCATTTTCCAAAGTACTGAGAGACTAAGAAACATCTTGAAAAATAACCATACCAGTGTCAAGCGAGGTGTTGACATGATTGTATGCAGATAGATGTGATCTCTTCTGCTGCAAAAGGAGTTGTCCATATACAAACCAGATCCATTCCAGACTCCATTCCAGAAACTGCATAGGCACATTAATACAGTGCTGAGTTGAAGCTAATAAGACATAATTTTTTCCTACAGAGATATCTTGTTATCTCAGTTATGAGATAATGTTATGAATGTACTTATATAAAGTGCCTTCATATAACATTGAGGCCTACCTACATTGAGATACCTGCACTGGAGAATCTAGCTTTGTCTCATGTATTTTAAGATATCTATCTCAGTCCTGAATTAAGTGTGGCGTCCGGAGAATTAAAATGCAGGCATGTCTCAAAGGAACAACTGAAGCAAATAGCTTGTTAGTGAATGACACCCAAGTCAGGAACAGAAGGAGAAACTGTTTTCAGAAAATTCCTAGGTTATAGCATTTCTAGAGGCAAATATACCTACTAAATATCTAGTGAACTATTTAATAGCATATTTTATATCACTCTCTTTGTTTGCATTATAGTACATTGGATTAAATTTAGGAAACTATACAAGTTTTTCCTTTATTTGTAATTGATGGATAGCAGTAATTTGTCACTGTTTCCATCACAGGCCACATGATTAAGATCAGAGTCAAGAACTCAACTGTGCAGATCTCAACCACTGGGACCATTGCTGTGCACTGAGATAACCAAAAAAGGTAGAGACTAAAAGAAGACAGTGTAATTTGAAATTAATCAAGATGTAACAACTCCCTTTTGTAGGCTGTGGTTGGGAATTCTCAGCTGAGCTGAGTGTGCCAATGGCTGAATCACAGATGCTGGCCTGTTCACTCTCTGACCTAACTCTGTGCTCTTCTCACAGCTGCCGAGTTGCTGATAAATCCTCTGCAGCCTAAAAACTTGGGTTGCCTGAGGTTAACGGAGCACTGACAGTTTGCACCAGTTGAAGATCTGTCCCTGGGAGTCTGAACCCTACGGGGAGCGTTCTTTTCTAATGAGCAAGATGTCCGGGGGAATTGCAAGGGCTGTGATCTGAGGATACTGGGGTGAGATGACAGCCAAGGCTCTAATGCTAGTTCCTTTGGTAGCAGCTAACACATTTCCTGACTGCTGTGCTGTCCATGTAACTTGAAAAGAATTTTGAATGAGTCTGTGGCAGAATAAACCGGTTAATGAGATCATGGGAGAGGGCTTTTTTTCCTTGATGATCAACTGTTGTCTTGTCTGGTGGTAACACATACACGACAGCCACAAGTAGTGAAATAGCTCATCTTTGCCAACATTTGCTGAATCCCAGGCTCTCGTTTCCATGGGCCAATGAAGTGCAAAGGCCACACTGTAGTTCAGAGGAAGAACAGACAGGCTGAAAGGAAACCATTGTTTCTCCCTTCCCGCTTGAGCTTTTGTGGTGTTTCTGAAAACATTTTAAGCTCTCTGTAGAGTATTTTGGTTAATCCTTAGAGAGCAATAATAAAACTCTAGGAAAGGTACGAGAAGAAAAAGATAGGACGTTTTCAGTCAGTATGGCTGTACGTGGTAGGAAGATCTGCTTCTGATTAACATGCCAAGAAAGTATTTAGGTTGAAAGTGAATTTTACTAGACACTTTTAAAGGAAACCGTTTAGAAAAATACCATGTACTGACCTCTGAGGAAGATCTGCAGAATCAGTATTTCCTTCCAGTTCACTCTGAGGGTTCTACCTTTCTTCTCTGTCATGCACTCAATAGCAATAACAATAATAGCGATACTTCCAGTGCTGCAACACTCTCTACTTCAAAGCACTTCACAAACACTGGACTAGATTCAGTCTGGTCTTCTACAGATATAAACTTTGTGTGAAATCCTGGCTCCATTATAGTGAATGGCAAATTTCCCACTGACT